CCCCCCCACCGTGATGCCATCTGACACAGCCAATACGGGCTATGCTATCTAAACCAACCTCTATATTCCATCGTAGCCATGGAAAACACAACACACTTGCTAGTTTAAACCTTACAAGAAACTTATGTGGTGGATCCTATTATTAACTTTTAAAAATAAGAAAATGAACCCAGCAAGGCATAGATCTTGTCCAAAGTCACAGAGCCAGGAGCCCTGAAGCTAAGACATACCTGGGTCTATCTGTTGCTTTCCCAGGTGCATGCTATGAACTATCTGCCATTTAATAATGTCAGTCCCTGGTTATGTCTAGGCCCTCTGCACTTGTCTGTGAGCTCTTTGAGAGCAGAGATCACCATGTCCTTAATATCCACCTCACAGCCTGGTACATGACCTACACTCAGCTGAATATTTCCTGAGCAAGTGAATAGATTGAAACCTAGTAGTCCCCAAAGGGAAGACTGTAAAAACCACACACAATTTCCCCACAGGATCTCTCTGGACTCCCATGTTAGACTATTCTGCATTAGGAAAACATTAAAAATGATTTGGAATGTGTGTCTGAATGCTTCTCTGTTTAAAAGTATCTCTTTAAAATTAACTGAAATGAGCCAAGAGAGGACATGAACAGACTGTACATTCTTCTTCAAAATGAAAAAGCATGTAGGTCTTTAGGATTAAATCACTGCATCCCCAAATTATTTCAAAAATTACTTTATCCCAAATGAAGCTTTCCAGGCAAACGTTGTTTAATAAAATGCAACCGGGAGGTAATATAATTTCCTATTGCTCAGAAATAAAATGTTATCTAAACCATCAGAAAGGGATGCTGAGGCAGTTTCCAGGCCTCCAGGAAAGCTTCATGCCAAATGTCTTGTCACACGCCATCTGCCACTTCTTTCCAAGACCCAGCTACCTCCTCTCCACCTATTTAGTCTGAAGAAAAAAATCTTGACCTTGGAGTTCTACCTGGGATGAGGCTTGGTGCTGTCATCACTAGATGAGTTACACTAGTCAAAACTCAATCTCCGTGAGCTGGTTTCTTCATCTGTAAAATGGGAGAAATTTCTATTAACTTTGTCTTGCTTTTCTCCTAGGGCTGTCATGAGAATATATAATAAATGTCTCGTTGTGTTTAATTAAAATATTTTCCCCTCCATCATCAGAGTTTAGCTGCTGGGTGATGGGCGGTGGCTACTGGCTGAGGCCACTGTGAGCTCTGTGTTCTTTTGGGGGCAGTTCTATATCTGTACTTGTCACTCCCCCTCCCAGATTCCATCATCCAGAAAAAAGGTATCACTAGGGAAGGCATAGAAGTAGCGTTGGGGACATTTATCTAGGGAAAGTTATACTGTGTTCTCTTCTGTCCCCAGTACCCTCTTGTTCCGAGATGAAAAGATATGTTACTGTTGGATTTGAGGGAATGAAGGGACCATGAAGCATGTAAGCGGAGAACTTCATGGGGAGAAGGTGGAGCAGGCCCACCTTGATGGCTGTGGCAGCTTGGGTGGCACAGCTTGGTGGTTTATGTGCCCATTGTGCACATAAAAACCTTCAGGGTTTTTAGCCATCACTTCGGCTTGGGCAAGGTTAGTTCTGCCATACCTAGGAACAGTGACCCCATTTCCTTTATCCTGTCTCTGCTCTCTGGCTTAAATCATTCAGCAAGAACTAGGGGTCAATGTGGTTGTTTAAAAGGAGGTTTTACCACTTCTGTTCTGTCTGACTCTGTGACACATTTCGTTGTGGGGGAAACGGGCCGCTAAGAGATCTATTTGTGAACAGATGGGAAACAAACTGTAATGCTGAAATGATGAAAGATTTTTTTTTTTTCTGATTTCACATGTACTGCTGTTTTTCTCAACAGAAGTCAAAGGATGTACTTGCAACTGTTGCTCAACTCTTATTATTAAGACTTTTAGAATAAAAAAGTATGTATTTTTTTTCTCTCCATGGTAGTTTCTTGGGAGAAACGAGGAAGAGTTTTTCTTTCCTGGGTGATAATGATAAAAAAGTGTTTGCACTCACACACACATGCATATACCAGGCCTGTCTGTCACACCATGTCTAGTCAGCTGGATGTTGAACAAATTTCTTTTTATTTGCACGTCCTGTATTTTAGAGTCATCATTTAGAGGAGAAGGGAAGGAAGAGCACATTATGAAAATTTGCGTCACAAGGATTAAGTGGCACTGCTGGGGACAGCTTCAGAGACTCCTGTTTCTCCCAGCCCGACCTGGGAATTGGCAATCTAAAGGAAGCCTAGGAATGAATCTGGGTTTTGTTAGTGTTCTTCATTCTGTGGGCTGTGACTCATTAATGAGTCCCAGAATCGATTTACTTTGATCTCCTTTGGCCTTGTGACTTTTTTGGACTGTGATTCCAAAGTGGAAGCTAAGATTCCAAACACCCAGCTCAGACTATGACACAGCTGCCCTGTTGTTAGATGCCCCAATTCCCACAGGCCTGTCTCTCAGTATTTTCAACCTGGGGGTTGTGTTTCATTAGTTGTTAAATTCCTTTAGAAGTTGGCAACTATGTTTTAAAAACAATGAAACAATACAATGGGTGAGAACAGAAAGTATCCGAGTACATCAAATTTAGCAAGGAGGAGTATTATTTTATGCAATCTTTGTTTCAGTCAGTACTCGGATTCCTGCAGACGTTGCCTGCTCTCCTTTTTTGTGCACTGAGTTGCAATATAAAATGTATTTGCAGTTATGGGTTTGAAATGTATTATTAAAAAATTGGTAAATCAGGGAAGAAAATGTAAAAGATGTCCTCATTCGGCTACAACACTTTACCAGATGGTACTGTCCAAGCCCACTTTCAAATATGTAGTTTCTTTTATAATCTGGTGTTGGGTGATGGGGTAGAGCTTAAGGACTTACTTCTGATATTTTGTAGCTAAATCCCACGAGGACCGATGTGATTCTGCAATCTGTATATGGGGTAAAAATAGGAGTTCATAACCTACTTGAATCAAATGTATGAAATATTATATGTCAAGAACTATGTAATGTTTTGAAAAACCAATAATAAAAATAAAAAATAAAAAATAAATCCCATGAGGAATATGCCTAGTATCTTGCTTTAGATCTAGGTGTGCTTCTCTCTAGTGACTTTCAGAGTTGGAGCCTTAGATGCATTTTTGAGAGATGGTCTTTTTTAAAAAAATGGTGCATTATCATCATATGCAGTAGTGGAATTCATTATATATATACACACACTCCTGATGACAGGCACCAGGAGTAAGTACAAAAGAAAGACTTGGGACAGTGAGTGGGTGGGGCAGATCTAACTTCCCAGTAACTGCTTTCTGCACAGTGGGAAGGCCCTCTCCTGGAGGACAAGTGGGAGCAGGAACCCCCAGAGTGGCTTCAGGGAAGGCGAGAAGAAAAGTGTCAGACAAGAGCAAGCGACCATTTATGAACTCTGTCCTGCCATCACCTTCCTCATGGTCCAGGCCAGAATATGGAGCCAAATCAATCTTATTCAAGGAAACGAACTTAACTCACAAACTGGTGGAGGTGTTGATTCTCCTATTAGTCAAAGCAGAGCTAGGTTTACTAGACCAGCTTGGTGAAGGAGAACACGACTCTGACCATCTTGGAGTGGCCCAAGAGAGGTTATTTACAGGGTTTTGATACTTGGGGCCAAGTGGCTTAAGATCTTTCAAGACAGAGAACTGATTGAGAATTGGGCAGAGTTAATGGCAACACTTATTTTGGATTGGCATGGGTCTTTTTTTTAAAAAAAATGGTGCATTATCATCATATATAGTAGTGGAATCCATTATATATATAATATATACATGCACATAATATAATTTGATCAATCTCATTCCCCAGGACCTCTCCTTCTCCTTCCCTCCTAATCTCTTGATCCCTTTGTTCTCCTGGTTTCGCTTCTATTATAAATGATTTTATTTTGTGCAAACATAATTATATATAAAGATGGGATCCATTATGGTATATTTATATAAAAGCATGGGTCTTCAAGTGAGTTTTGGTAGGTAAACTATGGTTTGGTTGATAAGCTGGTTCCCAAGTGAGCAATCCCTTATCTCAATAGAACTCCAACTCCATGTGAGCAAAATTTGTGTAGACAAATATGTTTGCAGGAATTGACATAAGTAGTCGAGGTGGTTTGTGAGAGGCCAACCTTACGGGTGACTGAGTTACACTCCCCAGCTGGGTGCTGAGGCGCTGAGTCACAGAAATGGGTGTGTCTTGCTACAGCCCCATGGGTGAAGCTGTGCTCACCTGTTCCTTTGTAATATAACCCCTTGTCCTGTTTAGGATAGAATCTTCCATGGAAGTGCCTTGTGTGTGTCCCCTTCTCTTACTGTGCCCTTTGGTGTGGCCTACCCAGGTGTCAGTCAACCTGCTGACAGTGGACATCATGAAGATAGACTCAGCCCCCTGAAACCTGACCCCTTGCCTCCTTTGATTAGCTTCTCCTCAATAAAAGGGGTCAGCGCATCCTCTCGCTCTCTTTTTTCGGACCCTTAAGGTCAGAGGAGCCATCACAGCAACCACAAAGAAAAAGGTATTTGTGTCTCTTGTGTGGTTATTTCGTACAGCCCAGTTAGCCCAGTTTAACTAGAGAGACCCCTGAGCCTTTTAGTCTCAAACAGAAACCCGGCAGTGGTTATTGGCTACAGCCTTGTTTTCCTGGCAATAACTTTCTGGAATAATTACCTGAGCATATGGATTCATGAATCTAAGGGTTTACTTATCTTGGTCACTGAGAAGTTGCTGAAACAGTTAGTTTTTCTACGCATAAATTCTTCAGATTTGTTTTAAAGTTTTTCTATCCTGTGGAATGTTTTTGTTAGTCACTAGTTATGTGCTATCAGATACTGCTGGTGTTTAAAAACTGGAGTGAAACAAAAATGTGAAAGAAAAATAACACTTGCAATTGGGATTAGGTTCAGATTTTATTGTAATTTGAAAAATTTCAAAATAGAATAAGGAAAGTCAAGATAGAACAATTAAAAGAAATTCTAGTTCTTTTTAAAAAAGAATAGTGGTTCAGGGGTTGGGAATATAGTTCAGTTGGTTAAGTGCTTGCCTTGCATGCACCAGGCCCTGGGTTCAAACCCAGCACCACCAAAACAAACAAATAAATTTTAAAAAAGGAAAAAAATTAAAAAAAGAATAGTAGTACATCATTTATACTATTCTGCAAATTGCTTTTTATCAGCTAATATATTTTGGGATAATATGTGTGTATATATGTATTGTATATGTAAATTTTATATACATATTAAGTATAATACATAACTATATGTATCCATATATGCAATCAGTATTTTAAACAGGCAGGACTGCAGTGAAATCAACATATGACTTTATCCTTATCTCCTCTAAACCTGCTCATAGGGGATTATCCTCTTCTGGATGAAAATTTGGTGCTCTTAGGCAATTGACATTTCTGTGGTGGCTTTAAATGGCAAATCGGGTCTTAATTCTGAAATGTTGGTGACCAAGGGATATTCAGTTACAAATAAATTACTGCAGAGGGACACTGATTTCCACCAAAGTGGTGGGTCATGGTTCCCATTTTAAATGAACAGTTCTCCAAGAGTCTGAGATGTCTATGCTGTTTCTTTCCTTGTCTCCCGATTCCCTCTGTTCTTCCCAGAGTTGTCTTTTCTACCTTTCTTAAGTTAGACAGAGGGATAAGGTAATCCATTGACATCTTATTTTGTTTTTATTTTCCTTTTACTAAATTAATTTTTCCTACATCTTTCTGAGACCAATCTGGAGTCGCCTTCTATAAACTGTACAGCTTGGTTGGGAGGCAGTATGGAGGAGAATTAGCTTGTAGAATTTGGAAACAGATGGATGTGGGTGTGAATCTAGGCCCTGGGTCTTAGATTTTTGGTTCTGGGTAAGTTATTTAGTCAACATGTGCTTTGGTTTTGTAAAGTAGTGATGATATTTCAGAAGAATTCTATATAAGAAGTGTGTGTGTGTGTGTGTGTGTGTGTGTGTGTGTGTGTGTGTGTGGAGAGAGAGAGAGAGAGAGAGAGAATGATATTTGCTTGGCATAGTACTTGGAGCAGTATAAGCACTCAAGAAAATAATGGTGATTACATTCTGTATGAGAAATGTAAACAGGTTATTCTTACAGGAAATTATATTTTTATTTGCATTTAAAATCCACAGGTAATGCAAATGTAATTCATTTTAATTAAGGATTATAATAATCTAATAAACAAATTGATCAATGAGCTGGTAATTTAATGAGTAGTTTCTTTGTCCTAGTAGTGTCCTTAGGTAAGAGTTCTCTGATTCAGTATCCCTGTTCTCATAGAACTCCCTATTTTGTTAGAATAATTAAACATATGCAGAAAAAAATTGGAGCATTACAAAGGGGACTGTAATGAAAAGGTGAGTTTTTTGAATCGGAAAATTTTATAAGAACAGTAGCAAGAGGGACTTCATTGCCTTTAGCTATACATGGCTTTTCTTGTCACTTTATCAGGTTAAAAAAAATCAGTGGTTGTATCCTTTAGGAAGTATTGAAGTAATACTATACTCAAGATAGCTTAAAAAATGGGATTTGTTATCTTACTTAAAAGTAAACACAGGGTGGATCATTCCAGATTTAATTATGCCAGGAACACAACATGCCATCCAGAGTTCAGCCGTCTGCCTTATTTCTCTTCCAGTATCCTTAGACTTGCACTCTTCTGGTTGTTGGTCGGTTGCCATGGCTCTAGACATCTCGTCCTTCCTCTGTTTCCATAGGGAGTATGGTGGGATGGTCGACATCCTCATTCTTGAAACTTGTGTGTGTTACTTTATATGGCAAGAAAAGGACTTGCAGCTGTGATTAGGATTCTGAGGTGGGGAGATTGTCCTGGATTATCCAGGTGGGCTCTAATGGAGTCACAAGTGCCCCTATTGTGGGAGACAAAGGGAGATTTGACTATAGGGATAGAAATTGAAAGTTATAAAAAGACACAAAACTATGGAATGGTTACCAGAAGCTGGAAAAAAAAAAAACAAAACAAAGAACAAATTCTACACTAAAAACCCTGGAGGACGCGTGACCTTGACAATATCTCACTTTTGACCCCATGATGGTGACTTTGGACTACTGTCCTCCAGAACAGTGACAGAAAATAAATTTCTATTGTTTTAAGCCATCAAGTGTGTGGTAATTTGTTATAGCACCCATTGGAAACTAATACAGAGAATAAAGGGGCATTTCTTCTTACATGTTTCCTTTTTTTTTAAAAAAAAATATTTTTTAGTTGTAGTTGGACATAATACCTTTATTTTATTTATTTTTATGTGGTGCTAAGGATTGAACCCAAGGGCTTGGATGTGCTAGGTGAGCGCTCTACCCCTGAGCCCCAGCCCCAGCCCCAGCCCTTACATGTTTCCTTTTAAAGAGAAAATATTTCCCAGAAGAACACTGTAGCTTCCTCTCGGGTCCTATTAACTAAGTTACAGTTTCAAGGAAGCTTAGAAAATAATTATCTGGAAGTTTTAGCCAGCAAGGAGAAAGGAACAATGTGAGTGTTTTGGGAAAAACAACCAACAGATTCTGTCATAGTAGGAAAGTGATCAATTTATAGACAGTAGAAAATAGAACTGGCCAATGTCAAAGTTAGGCATTGGTACTTAAAGAATTCAAGGGTTGCCTGCACTTCTCAGGCCCACAGCTTCACCTGCATCAGAGTGTCATGCTATCTTATCTCGTGGGTCAACAGATTCCATGTTCTTCTGTAAGAAAATAGAAACACTGCCAAGGAACAGGCCCCTTCCCCAGGAATCAGGCCCCATCCCCAGGGATAAGTTCTTACCTGGCCAGGACTTGGCTGACCTTCCTAAGGGAGCTCTTTCCTTCTGAGGTAGGTGAGCTTCCTTAGCAGTGTTCAGCTGCAGCATTCCATCTTCTAATTCTCTGTTCTGTCTTCTGGGGAGCTGCCCACATGCAAGGGAGGCATGCTCTCAGCTTCTAATCTGTGGATGGCTTTCCTGCAATTCTAAATTGCTGAAGCTGGGTGCTGTGGTACACAGCTATAGTCCTGTTAGGGTTTAGATGTAGCTCACATGTGAGACAATGCAAGAAGGTTCAGAGGAGAAATGGTTGGGTTATAGCCTTAACCTAACCAGTGAATTAATCCCTGATGGGATTGAGTGGTAGCGGAGGCAGGTGGGATGTGGCTCACTGGGGACATGGCTATGGGATATATATTTTGTATCTGGAGAGTGGAGTCTGTCTCTGCCATGTGATTATCATGTGAGCTGCCTCCATCTGCCACACTATTTTTCAATATTGTTCTGTGTCACCTCAAGCCTTGAGGAGTAGAGCCTGCTGTCTATGGATTGAGACCTTAGAAAACCATGAGTGCCCAAATAAACTTTTCCTCCTTTACAGTTGTGCTGTTCAGATCATTTAGTCACAGCAGTAAAAAAAAAAAAGCTGACTAAAACAAGTCCTAACTACTCAGGAGGCTGAAGCAGAGGAGGATCACTTGAAACCAGGAGTTCAAGTTCAGCCTGGGCAACATAGCAAAACCCAGGCCCCTTTATGCCCTCAATAAGGGAAAAAAAAAATCCAGATTGCTAATTCATGAATCCATCATCCCAATGACCTTTGTGGTAACTATTCACAAACTGATTTGCAGGAGGAGAGAGATTTCCTTTCTGCATTCAGAATTTAGTGCTTGTGTGACTGTTTGCCCATCTTTCATACCGACTGAGCTGGCTGAAGGCCTGAAGGCCCTGGAATTGCTTGGCTTCTGCTGCAAAGATTGGAAGAAGTCCTTGCCACGAGACCCCCCATTTGTTGAAGTTAAACATCCCTTTAACTCTGACCATACCCAAGTAAATGTATCTCCTTTTTTGCTTCATTAATTTTAAAAATGTGGAAGGTTTGGGGTTTGGCTCACAGAGCATTATAAAACACAAAGTCTTGTCATCTGGAAAATGCCTTTTTTTTGCTGCTCTCAAATAGAACTAAATTTAAAAGGAACCCACACAGAGACCACCAGGTAATATAGTGGCTCTTTGCCCAAAAACATTTGCTTCTGCTACCCTGCGAGTAGGGACTAGTGGTGTTTAAAATCTATTACTTATGAGATTGTAACTCTCCTGCTGGCCTATTAATCAGATTGCTTATTACAACTCTGCTGACTTGTTCATTTCATGGGTTTCTCCAGTGCAGCCAATGCTTCCCAGAGAGCAAGTGCTATGGAATTTCAGGCTCTTAATGGAAACTGACAATATATCACAGGGGGTGGAAACCTTGAGGATTTTAAGCGGTTGGATATGAATTGCTATCAGCAAGCAGCTTATTTCTAGAGCTGTTCAGTGGTCCTGAGCCGGAGTTAACTGTCTAGATCTCTGCTATGTGGAAAAACATTTATCCCTTTTGTTGCATTTAGTCACCTTGAAACCAGAATTTCATAGCAGTGGACCCAGGGTGTTAAAATCCATTGTCACACTGGGAGTCATAGGAGGGACTGGAAGAAGCAGCCAGGAGAAATTTATCTCACCGTCAGGAGTATAGTCTTTAAATAAATGTAATTGATAAAAAAGAACAAATAGGGCTTAGTATAAATGTAGAAAATTCTGACATTTATAATATCTATAAGAAGTTAACTAGTGTGGAAAAAAGAATTTCAAATCTTGGGCTTTTAATGACCTTAGCCAAAATTTCTGGCTTAAAACCACATATGTGACCTCCAGGCTTTCAAACCCTGTATCTATTTAGGAGTGTTTTCCATAGTGTGTTGGTGCTCAACTAAATGCTGCCTCATGGACACAAGTGGCTGCTGGCATTGCAGACACTGAATCTTTGTTCAAGGAAGGAAGAAGTTCTTATCGGAAAAAAACGTTTTCTAAGAACTGTGTCTTCTATGCATCCACAGCTACAGGAGAGGCTGGGCAAATGTGCTATTAGCCTCCACTTTAGAGGCTAGGAAGCTATAAGAGAGAAGAGACTGTTCAGTGTGTGGGCAATGACAATAGCCACATGTTACCTAACAGCTGGTGTGGTAGCTAAACACAGATTGAGGATTTGTGGGATGTACGACACACTAAGTACTTGACGGGATCATTTCATTGGAGCCTCACAACAACTCTCTGGTGTATGAATCCTATTATTGGATTCTCTTTTTCATTTGAGAAAACTGGACCTTAGATCAAATAATTCCTGAGTGGCACAGAATTTCTTTTTCCCCACTTTCATCATCATGAAATAGCTACCCCTATTGCCACGTAGCTCTCTTTCAACATAACTTGTGCTTTTTTTTCTCTTTTAAATATTTGACAATTTTTTACCCCATGAAGGCAGAGTGAGTGGAAAAAAAGGTATTCAGGGTAGCTTCTTTTCTGGCTTGAGAAACTAGGAGAGCATGATGTTTTTCCTGATAGAGGAAGAATAGTTTTGTCAGTTTTTGTCAGTTCCATCTTGAGTGGGTTTAGTAGGTGGCACCTGTCAGTCTTTTAAGTGGCTGATGGTAGTAGGTGTCTAGAGTGCAGGAGAGATTTCATAGAATTGAACTGACTTTTAGAGTGAAGATCAAACCAAATCAGTATCCCAAGATTCAGCAACGTACATATTTTTTTTCCTGGAAATGCAGCAGAAATCCAGAGATGACTGATAGATCTGAGTGTCTTTTTCTACAGATACTAACATTGTCATAGGCAGCTTCTAAGATGGGCCCTGATGATGCTGCCTCCTGATACCAGGTCCTTGTATGATTAACCCTTGCCCCCTCAGGACTTTGTACCTATTGACTTGCTTCTGATTATTAGGATAGCAGCAAACATGTGGGATGTTGTTTCCATGATGAACTGATAAGTGGCTATAAACTCTGTCGTCTTGGCAGACTCGACCTTTTCGGTTTTCATTGCCTCAGTCAAGGAAATGACCATAATGGAGAAGTCCATGTGGCCGTGCATTTAGGGTGGTCAGCAGGGTACAGAGGCCCTCTGTCCAATAGTCCTTGAGGAACAGAATTCCACTAAGGACCAAGTAAGCTTTAGAAGTGGATCCTTCCCTAATCAAGCTTTCCAAGGAGACCTTAGCTTTGGCCAAGGACTTGATTGTAGCCCACGTGAGAGATCCTGAAGTAGAAGGCCTAGCTAAGCTGGATTCCCCACCCACAGATAGGGGAATAATAAATGTGGGTTATTAAACCACATTTGAAGTTTGTGATCACTTATCAAATGGCAACAGAAGACAAATATACCCAGAGTTTACCAAGGGAGCAGGGCCAGGCCCTGTGGCAGTAAGGGGATATATGCCTATTTGATTGTAGAGCCAAGGGACGGCAGACTGTCTTTGGTGAAGAGAGATTGCTTAGATATAGAAATAAATTACCTGCTTGGCCAATTAAAACCAGGAATGAGAATCAACTCATTGAACCCACTGGGGAAATGAGAGAACCTGAGGGGATGCAGCTATATTTAGATCAGACTCTAAGAAGTAGCAGCTGGCGTAGGAAGTAGGCCTGCCACGCTGCAGGAGGAGTATTTGAGCCTCAGGAGGTGGATAAACCCTAAACAAAACCACCTCCAAGGGCTTTGGACAGGACCGAGGAGGCCAAGTCACCAAGCAGAGCATCAAGGACACTTGTAGATTTTCCCCACTGGAAATGCTCGGAGAGGAAGAAAAAAATCCAGTTGTTGACTGAAATCAATCAGTATGCTTGTTCTGTAAGCAATTTCCTTTCCTCTCTACCCACCATGTTCTTAGAGAAAGCATCAATAGCTGTGATATTCATTAGCCTGGGCTTCCCTGACACAGTGCGATACCCTAGGTGGCTTAAACAACAGAGATTTATCTTCTCACAGTTCTGCAGGCTGAAAGTCTGAGATCAAGCTGCCATCAGAGTCGCCTTCAGGTGAGACCTTCCTTCCTGGTTGGCAGGAAGCTGCCTCCTTCTGTGTGCAGGTGTGGGGGAGTCTCTGGAGTTTCTTCCTCCTCTTATGAGGACACCGCTGCTATAGAGTTAGGGCCCCCACACTTATTATCTAATTTAACATGAATTATCTCCTCAAAGGTTTTGTCTCCAAATACCCTCACACTGCGGTTTATGATTTAAACATATGAATTTGTGGGGGGAGGGGGAAGGTGAACATGAGTTCTTAATACTTTCTAGCTACCAAGTGCCTACAAAAAGTAAGCTCAGTTATAACAGGATCTTGGACTGTCTTTTTCATCAAGAAAATAGTCTTTTTCAAAGACTATTACAGTTTGGACATAAGTAAAGTCTTCAGTAAATGTTTCTGAATGAATGGAAGAGGGCCTCCTCCCTGATACTCAGATATTGAAGAAGTTGTGAGACTAGATCAGGTCTTAACTATTCATCTTTTATTTTTTAAAAAAAGTTTTCAGTCTTATTTGCAGTTTTATTATGAGATTTGTAAATACCACTGGGACTATAAGTCATCTGATTTATTTACCCATTTTATCCATCAAAGATTTATTGAGGACCTGCTAGATGCTCTGCACAGGGCCAGGTGCTTATGGTCAGGCTGAGATGGAATTCTTGTTCTCAAAGCATCTTGCATGTGTTTGTGAAAGGATGTGGTCAGTACAAGAAGCAGTTATGTAACCACACAATGGTAAGACACATAAAGGAATCACTGAGAAGATCATACATTCCTTCCCTGGGGACTCGTAAGAAAATGCAGTCCTGCTGAAATAGAATGGATACCTGATCCATTCAAGGCAGAGATCTCAGTGTGAGTTGATGGAAGTACCAGCTGAAGAAGCATTTTAAATTGCACCATGGGGCTCCTGAGAGAATACAAAGTGAACATTTGGTGACGGGATCCCATATCTGCCAAACTTCCCTGCACTAACAGGAGCAGGCTCAAATTTTATCTTCAAGATGACAGGATAGGGAGAAAAGGAACGAGCCAGTGGGAATGTGAGGCAACCTGTCCCCAGAATCGAGGAAGGGGAAAGTTCCTGTGCCTGTAGAATTCTTCTGATTTTTTTTTTTTTCAAATTGGACTGATGACTACAAGGGGATTCCTAGACTTGTCACTGCTGTCCTGGGAGTCCCAGGTAGCCACAGGACTTGGAATTGTCCTTCTTGGTATTTAAGCTGGAGAGGGCAAATACCACCACCAAGTGGCATCAAATCATAGCCAGACCTCTGCAATCCAAGGCTGGCCGGTTGCTGGGGCTACTCCGGTTACTCATTAATCTCAACACCATGTCACTGCCATTTTCCACATTTTTGTATCCCACCTATTGTGTACCCAAGAATTGATAACCATGGGCCCTGAACAGATCAAATCCTGTCTAAGCATAGGAGACTAAGACCTGGTCTTTTTCATGTTTCTTTCTGCCTATGGATCTAGGGATAATTGCTAAATTCCACGATCCAGTTTCAGAAACAAAGCACAGCAAGGTTAGCAGACAAGATCT